CTTGATTGTAAAATGTTGCAAAATCACGTATGTACCTCTGCTGAGCAGCCCTTTCCCCTCTGGCATATGTGACCGCTGCAGCCTCACACAAGTTTGCACGGTGAGTTTAGTTCCAGCTGCCTCTTCATTTTCCTGGGCTTTCCCATTCTCCCAACCACAGACAGAAGGGTAGCTTAGCCTGAGTGAAACACCTGAGGATGTTTGCAGTGTGGAAGATGCTCTTTTGTAGGTATCACTTTTTCTGGGACTTTGTCAGTGCCTAGGGCCTTGGGAAGCAAATGGCCTGGTTCTAGCCTGCTGTCCTAGCTAACTCCTCTTCCTAATCTCCTCTTAAGAACACACAGCAGTATTTGACATCTGTCTGTCAAATTCATAAGCCTCTCCTTGAAACAGCCCGCTATGTTCCCCCTGTAGAAGCCCCTCAGCTGCTTCTGTTCCCCTTTGCACCATAGGCTGTAGCTGCTACAACCATTAAGCTCCCACTTTCCCCAGTCTCTGTAAAAGGATTACTTTCTTGGCATGCACAAAGTTGATGGTATCATGGTAAAAATGTGAAGTCTATACACGTTGCACTTAATAAAGTGTGTAGTATCTATGCAACACTGTTATTGAAAAGGCGCTAAGTAAGTGACCTTTCTGTACTATGCATAAATGCTTCTTGCACACATTATTTTGCATATAACTTTTTGACAAAAATGCCAATTCCTTTTTGATTTTCTCAGCTATACTGACTTTTCAGAGCCTGAACATAGTTTGGTTTGATTCTTGCTTTAGTTTTGCTAAAAACCTCAGCGGTGATAGCAGATCAACACAAAGGGTCCTTTTTAGTTGTCAGATAAGAATCTGCAGTTTGATTTATATTTACCAAAATTTTAATTTTGTTAACTCGAGGAGCTCAGTTTAAGGTTCACTTTAAAAAAGGCACACCCACAGCAACATAGTAGAAGGTCTGGTTGAATGGAGTCATGCTTTAAGCATGGAAAATGGTCCAATCTTAAAACGTCCGTGCTGGGGTCCCAATGTCGAGTGTCCTGTGTTAGTGTGCATCGCTGGACTAATGAAAATACAACATCGTTTTCTCTCTCTGGTTCTGAAATTGGAGACTGCATATTGCTGTCAATGCTGGGAGGAACAGAGACTAGACCTTGGTTTAAATCATATATATTTAAAGTCTCTCTTTCCCCAGATGTATGTATTAATCAAGAAGCAAACTGGGGGGACAACACACCACTTTGAAATAAACCAGATTCCTAATGGAATAAGAAAATTCCCTCCAGTACATTTTCTCCCCCTGTGTCAGCTTTTATAGTTCTGTTTCTGGCACACATCTTCTGAGATTTCTTTAAAGATTGTTAAGAAATTTTCTCTTACATCAACAAACAATTTTTCAGAGCCCAAGCAAAGCTTTAATAAAAAGCATCTTTCACAGAAGGCTGGTAACCAGGGAGGGAAAGGGGCAAAAGAGGTTGTAGGGAGAAAAGCACAGGGCTGCTCTGTAATATGTTTTCTGCTTTCTAAGATCACCCAAATGTGAAGCTGCATTGCAGACTTGTAAACAGGTTTTTTTCAGGAGAAGAAATGCTTGTGTAGGGCACGTGTGTGTAAAGGTGTGCATTGAGAACTGCAATCGCTAACTTCAGTTGCACTTGCAGGGCTGTGTTTATTAATGTCACGCTGTCACTGAGTTGCCCTGTCTCAGCGTGTGAGCTGGCACTCAGTGAATGGTGAAGAACAAAATCTGAAGGAAACTCGTAGAGGTTCAGACAGTGCTATAGGAAGCCTCTCCCAGCAATACTAGAAAAGCCTGGAAAATGTACAGTAGACCAAGTGTTTTGCTGAAGCTTTACATGCTAGCAACAAGCTTTCCAAGTTTTTACTGGCAAAAAGCTCCTGGACTCACCTGCTATATTATTTTTTCCTTTTCCCCTTAGGGGTGTACAAGGAACGGTAAGCGGGAATGCCTCTGTGCAGAGTTCAGCTCAGCTACCAGCAAAATTCCTGCTTGAGAGCATATTGCATTATGGGCTCAGCAGACCAGTAATGCTGTCTTAACTCTCTTGTTTAAACATAATGACAATACTGCAGTCTTTTTCTCAAAAATGCCTTGGGGTGGGGAGACAGGATGTGTGTACGTACGTATGTGTGGCTGTCTGGAAGTCCATGCCCTTGAAGGTGGAGGGAGCGAGTTTCATGTGAAGCACCTTCAGGACTGAAGGTAAAGAAAATACAGGATGCACATCTGGAACTGCTGTACGAATGAGAGAATTAAGAGAGCATGAAGCAAGCACGGAGCATACACATAAAACAGAAGGTCAAACCTTTTTTAGCTCTAGGTCTAAGTTAAAAACCACATTTTCGTAATTCATTACGCACCCAGAATGTCTAAGGTATTGATTATTCACAGAGTGCCGAGGAGTGATGAAGGAATGCCACTTCTGATCCAAAAGGAGGGGAGATTAGCCGTATTAGCTTGGTGCTTTGATCACCAGGGGAGGGAAGGAGAATCATGGAGTATTAAATGCTTTTTTATACTCAAATAGGAATGGAGAGTAGGGAAGAATGTCACCCTGCAGAGATTTTTAGGTGTTTTCAGCAATAACTGACTGAAAATGTATGTTTTCAGAATATGCTGGGAAATTGTCTTACAGGAGGTAATAATTTCCACAGTACTAGAAATTGTTTATAGCAGATGTTAAAAAATGATTTTTTTTTTAATTTTTATTTTAGTTCCATCTATTTTGTGGTGTAGAAACAAGTGTTTGTTCTGTGGGTTTTATTTGTATCATTTTGTTTTCCCTTTGTTGTGCTTGTTTGTGTAAAAACCAACCAAACTACAAACAAACAAGCATAAAGCCCAAAGCAAATGAAAAAGTAAAACGAAAGGAGAGGAATTCACAATACCAAATACATGTAGTAGTGGAAGATACATCCAGCACTTGAAAATAAAATGGTATTCTTTTACATTAGAAGAATCCTTGTCTTAAAATCTCGAGAAAAGAGCAAAGAGTAGAGGCTCCAAGTCTGCCACATCTTCTGCACATATTTAACTTCAGGCACTGTCATTGGTTTTGATGATAATGTGAGGGAGGTCAAACATATGGTAAGTCCTTGCAAGAATTAATCTTGGGGACTATTGCCTAAGTGGTCTGTGGAGTCAGTGCTTGTCTGCAGGAGCCTGGCTGCTGCTGGTGTTTTGGGTTTTTTTCTCTCCAGCTGTAAATCTCATTTTCAAAATACCAGAGTATACCAGATGCTTTCCAAACAACACTCCTCCATGCAATTATTTGCAATAGCTGCCAGGGGGTATTAGGGAGTCTCAAAGGGGAGCAGAGTGTCTGCAAAACCCACTCTGTGTTAAGATACAGTTCTTGCTCAAAAATGTACATAGCCCTGGATTAGGTCTACGTAGCCATAGCACAGACTCAGAAGCCTTGAAGAAAACGTTTTCCGTGTCATTTGCTGAAATACTGAGATTACTGTCTAAGTAAAACAAGATACAGAAGAGGAAGAGGGAAGGAGCTGGTTAGTGTTGGTTTTTCCTTTATGGTGTGAGATGATGACTTTGATCTCTCTGCAACTGAACTGGGAGATCTTGGGCAAGTTGCTGTGACTTTGGTTCATGGGTTCTTCACCTAAATAGTTGTGCCTAGCAGATGTGACATGGAGGAAAGCCTGGAGCTCTGAATCCACTGTTCTTATTTTGTTTGTAATATTTCTTATTCTACAGGCCACTAAACTGTGGTTCCTGTATTCATCTCTGGATGGTGCTTTCCTTCATTAATAATTTATTTTGAGATCAGTACTGAAAAGTTGGAGATGGTAGGAGTGTGCTCAGCAGTAGCATTCATCTCTCATATACTGGTTGCAATTTGTGAAGCATACTGCTCAAATATAGCAAGGTCTCTAGATGTGTTGCCCATGGCATTTTATTGACCATCAAAATTATATCCTAGTTGTCTTCCAGTCTTCTACTTGCTTTACTTGGAGAGCTGGGAGCAGGGGTGGAAAAAACTCATATGCAGCAATGTCAGCACAGAGGAAAAACAGTTGAAATAATCTTACAGCAAAGGCCGCCTGTCTTAGTAGCAGAGGCTTGTTACTTTTGTGCCTGCTTTTTTGCTAGTAAAGTGAAATGAAGAAGGTAAAGAAGTAGCAAATTGTTTTGTGGAGTTTTTTTGGGCTGACTGCTTCCAGTGTGACAATTAGCCCTAGCAAAAGGAGCGTGTAAGTGTTGCACAACATCTCTGTAACAAGTTTCCAGGCATGCTGTTTCTTTTCTGGGTTTGTTTTTCTCGAATCCAACTGAAGTCTATTAGAAAGGCGTGCTTTCTGTGTGCACATGAATAGGGACAGTCAACTCCCGCAGTCACTGGGCTCTTGGTTGAACTGCTGAGTCCTATTTTGCATGAATGAAAAATGAGCTGCTTTAATATCACAATTAAAATAAGTGTACGGGGTTGTGCTTTTCCTATCTGCCCAGGTCTGATGAAGAAGGTAGCATTTGCCTTGTGAGCTCTTCTTTGGCCTCCCACCAAACAGCAAAGGGCCGTAATGTTCCTCCCCTAACAGCTCCTTTTGTGGTGCCAAGGTTATGGGCAGTTACTTTCCTGTAAAAAAAGCCTGCGACCCAAATATACTAATTTCTCGCAGTGTTTAGTGGAGAGTATAAAGAATTAAAATCCCTGCACTTCCACTCTCATCCCTTCTTCATTACTTAGACCTGCAGCCCCTCCTTTGCTAGCATGGATTTGGCAGCACAGCCGGGGGTGCATCTCTGCCATCTACCCAACACTCAGGTGAACAGTGTTTTCAGAGTATACTGTAAATAGATTTTGAAATATGTGTTTCCTCACTCTCACTGGTAAAAATGACTGCTTAACCCCCAACAAACCCCAAAGCCCATCATGCTCTGTTAACAAACGGGTTAATGGGGTGCTGGGCTGTGCAGAGAGCTCTGCATCCACCCACGTCTTACTGAAAACCTGTGTTTTGTCTTCCAGACTCTGACCTGAGCATGCGAACGCTCAGCACACCCAGTCCAGCATTAATATTTCCACCAAATTCCCCTGGTTTCCAAAATGGCAGAGGGTCGTCAACGTCTTCATCCTCAGTCACTGGGGAAACTGTTGCCATGGTCCACTCGCCGCCTCCCACCCGTCTCACTCATCCTCTCATCCGGCTGGCGTCCAAGCACCAGAAGGAACAGGCCAACATAGACCGGCTGCCCGACCACTCCATGATCCAGATATTCTCCTTCCTGCCCACCAACCAGCTGTGCCGCTGTGCCCGCGTGTGCCGCCGCTGGTATAACCTTGCCTGGGACCCCCGGCTTTGGAGGACTATTCGCCTGACTGGAGAGACAATCAACGTAGACAGGGCTCTTAAAGTGCTGACCCGGAGGCTGTGTCAGGATACACCCAACGTATGTCTCATGTTGGAGACAGTAATTGTTAGTGGCTGCAGGCGGCTCACAGACAGAGGACTCTACACCATTGCCCAGTGCTGTCCAGAACTAAGGAGGCTGGAGGTGTCTGGCTGTTACAACATCTCCAATGAGGCAGTCTTTGATGTCGTGTCACTGTGCCCAAACCTGGAACACCTGGATGTGTCAGGTAACAGGAAATATTTCAGTATGGATGCCTCTGATTCGTAAAGCCTCGTGGTTGTCAAACCCTTGGCCCCACAACTACATGCTTCCCCTTTCTGTGTTGTCTTTCAAAGTAGGAATGCCAGTCTCCTAACACAGTACTGGTGAGACAGACACCAGTAGAATCTCAATATCCCAAATGCCAGCATCACCTCTTGAGTGGCCAGGCCTTCTCCAATGGAGATGATCTAGCAGAGATGGCCCCTTCAAATAGCACGAGTACCTTTTAGAGAACTTTGCACAAAGCACCTTTACAAAGGCCCACATTGCAGTCACTGTTACCTCACATGGTGAAGGATAATGAATTCAGCAAAATCTGTTTTATTTTTTCATAT